ACCCAAGAGAGTTTGGGAGTCAACAGTCCCAAGAAGGAGCTTGTGCACGAACATTACGCCATTGCATATTCTGCGATGGTGCAACGACGGCAGGTCAATAAGATTTAGCCTAGACCGGTAGGGTGGCAAGATTCTACCTGAGTCCCAGTTAAAGTTCCGAAGGGCAAAAATTAAAAATTGCTTTTGCACGGATTCAATAACAGCCTGCTGTTCTTTATACTGCGGGCTCCAAACACAAGAACAATACTCCAATATAGGACGTACTAACGAGATGTACAGTTGTTTTGTAACGTACGGGTTGTCAAACTCCTTGGACCAACGCTTGATGAACGCTAAAACACCCTTAGCTTTATTTACAGTTGCAGCTATATGGGTGTTAAAACACATCTTATGATCAAAAAGGACTCCGAGGTCATTTGAACTCGAAATACGTTCAAGGACATGATTTCCTAGAACATATGGGACAAAATGAGGAGCGCGACGGTAAAATGTCATAAGTTTGCATTTGGAAAGGTTCAGAAAAAGAAGATTAGTTGAACACCACAATAGTAGTTCACTTAGATCAAGTTGAAGGCGTGTGTGCAAATACCAATCAGAGTAAGAAAGACAGATTTTGACATCATCAGCATACATTAGTGTAGTAGAGTATGTTATGACTTGAGGAAGGTCATTCACAAATAAAATGAACAGAAGCGGGCCCAGATGACTTCCCTGTGGCACACCTGAAGTAACATTTACAGTATTTGACAACACGTTGAGTGCGGTTAGAGAGATAGGACAAAATCCAATCTAGAAGATTCGTTGGGAACCCTAATAAAGAGAGCTTGTGAATAAGCAGAGCATGGTTCACAGAATCGAATGCCTTGCTGAAGTCAGTAAAAACTACATCCGTCTGCGAACCAATTTGAAAACCACGGTGGATTATGTTAGAAAACTCAAGAAGGTTAGTCGATGTTGAACGATGTCTGAAAAAACCGTGTTGCGACGGAGATATCAAGCTGCAACAAAGATGTTGCAGTTGCCGGGTGACCAGGAACTCAAGAAGCTTCGGGATGGCGGAAAGCTTTGCGATACCACGATAGTTTTCAATGTTTGATCTTGAACCTTTTTTGTGAAGCGGAATGATATAGGACTCATTCCAAATTACTGGGAGACAAGACTGTTCCAAAGAGAGGTTGAAGAGAAAGGTCAAGGGTTTGCAAAGGGACTGGGCACAGTGTTTTAAGATGCAACTTGGTACCTTATCTGGACCCGCAGAAAACGATATGTCCATAGATGACAAACCTTCCAGAACAACGCTTTCCTCGAAAAAGGGCAGAAAAATGCTGTTAGCTTGAGGTAGCTGGTACGGATACGGAGTGGATGCGTTGTAAATATGAGACGAGTACGTTGTTTGGAAAAAGTTAGCGAATAAATTAGCAATACCAACAGCAGAAGCTTCTGTTTTGTTCTGGTAATGAAGGGACGGAGGAAAAACGTTTGACTTGCGCTTAGAGTTGACGAACGAATAGAATTTTTTAGGATCACTACGAAAGTTTCTACTACATTGTGAAAGGTAATGATTATAACACTGACTATTGACGGCAAGGAACAGAGAGCGAGCGGAGTTCTAAGCTCCACTGCTCTAAGTTGAAGTCCCGAGCGAGATCGAGATGGTGGAGCCACTCCTAAAAGAGATCTCGGTCCAAGGGCAGAGGAATTGGCAGCAATGGTTGTAGCAGGAATTGGAGCAGAAATTGGAGCAGGAATTGGAGCAGGAATTGGAACAGGAATTGGAGCAGGAATTGGAGCAGGAGTTGGCAAGACGTCGTCAGCAACCAGCACACCCGCACTAGGAGCACTCACCGCGTCAGAAGTGACGGCCACATTGCTCGGTGTAAAGAACTCCGGAGCCACCGTTGGCGGATTTACAGACAACGGCGTGGCATGACTACACGGAAATGCTGCCGATGGATTAAGGTGGGAGGCAGGCGTACCAATCGGATTAGATTGCAAGAGATTGGTATCATTATGCGGAATTTTCCGTCTAGGCGATTCGCTCAAGAGTTTGAGCCCAAGAAACTGTGATTCAAGGGCAAGAAAATTCTCGTTGAGAGCATCAAATTGTTTCCGGACATCCAGAAACCCAGTTCGAGTCTGTCTCATAAATGTGCACATGGTTGAATATTTGGCAGAGTACATTAACAACAATAGCAGGCACACACAACACCAGCTCCTGCCAGATGAATGCATTCCAACTACTTTTTAGACGCAAACTTTTACATTCTTCATAAGCAATCCCCCCATTGTGTTCTATTCGAAATTCCAATGAATGTGAACATTCATTCATTTTTGGCATTTACTTTGCTTCCATGCATTTGTATTACAATTACACATACCATACCATTAAATACTTGTAACCGCTTAAAATCATTAATAAAGCGAGGAAAGAACTGAAAAATATAGTCATCTTCTACGATTCTGCGTTTTTAGTTTTCTCGTATCGTCGAAATTGTGGATGCCACAGATTTTCGCTCTTTGTGGGGTCGGAAGTGGGCGGGGCAAAGCTTTGAAATATACTTGTAGCAGTGACATATCACAGAAGTCCGGATATAAAACGTCGTTGCTCTAGTTTTTATAGTCTTTGAGCACTAGGCGCTGAAAGGGACGGGCAGACGGACAGACGGACGGACGGACAGACGGACAGACAGACAGGACTCAATCGACTCGGCTATTGATGCTGATCAAGAATATATATACTTTATGGGGTCGGAAACGATTCCTTCTTGACGTTACACACATCCACTTTTACCAAAAATCGAATATACCCCAACACTCATTTTGAGTATCGGGTATACAAATTCGTACTTTTCAAACCCTGGATAATTTTAATTTTAATTTTGTTCAGTATTAAAGTCACTGAAGAACTAAAGTCTATAAATATCACCATACAATACAACGAAATATATGTCAAAACTGAAGAGCCAATAAATACCTAACTTCTTATATGACTTCCATAGCATCAATCCACGCTTCGTACATGCCTCTTGCATAAAACGCTGCATGTCTTTTAATAAAAAGGTTTTACTGTTCCATTCGACTTAGACTTTTTACAGACCTCTATTTTTACTGTCGGAGCGACCCACGTATACGGAATGCCTGCTGCCGGTGTCCAAGCCAGCACTGAGGTTCTGCTCTTCTTACCCAATTGCTGTTATTGTCTATGAAATGGCCCATCAGCTCCCTCAAACAGGGTCGCTGGAATCATGTGCTTCTTCTCCAATCTGTCGCTATTCATCGTGACATTCGTCACGGGATTTGTGAGACTCTTATAGTATTCATGCTGATGGCTGTCATCATCCTTTTACTAACTAAAAAGCTATTCTCAGTGCAGTGTTTGGCATTGAAGTCAGGGCCCTCGCGCCCCTTCTGATGGATCCCCATGGATTTGTGCCTCTGTTTGGTGTCGTCAGCCAGCGGAGTTTCGCACCTTCGACGGGAGTGGTCACCAATGGCCATCGGAATGTCCACTGTCGCGGTTGCAACTGCATCTCTGCCAGAGCTGATGCTCAATGGCAATAGTCAATTGTCTAGTATGTGGAACGACTACAGCGCGGTGTCCGGCCAACAAGTTTTCGACCACCGCCCCAGTTAGTGGAGACGTTTCGATTTAGATGCTTGACTTAATTGCTGTCCGCTCGTTTAAGTATAAGTTGAATTACGACTGCTTTTCGTTATATAGTATGTTCCGTAAGAGTTCCATCAACCTGAGGCGTATTCCCTTCCTCGCGTTGACCCCTTAGATACTTGTCTTTCGTCGTTGATATCCAACATCTTCTAGCAGCCACTGAAAATATAAAACAATGCCAGACTGTAGTATTTTGTGTAATTTTTCAATCTCCCTCTTAGCTTCTAGTTCTTATTGTATCTGTTCTTATTGTCTTAGTTCTTCTAATTTCGTGCAAAGAGTTCAGGTACCAAGCACTGAGGTCCCCACCAAAATATCCCCAACGATTCCATAAAGAACTATGCAAACTACTATCTAGAACTATCAGCCTGAAGACCTGGTTTAAGCTCTGGTTATAACCATTAATTCTACTGCAAGATTACCATGTACATTTATTATTTTTTCCTGCATAGTAATTTTACAAATGCAAGAGGGGCTTGCATTAACACAGAAACAGACATGGCCTTGATGGATAACTTACTTTTTGGCATGATTCACAACATAGTGACAGGCCAAAGTGCGAACTGGCCCTGGTGACAGGGCACTCCCTTTCCCGCACTTGTTGAAATGAAAGCGAGACAATCAATCCAGGACACTAACAAATTAGCGGACCAATGTCCATCCTCACCAGCACCAGCATGGATAATTAATCATTCTCAATTGTGGAATGGCAGTAGCTCCTCAAACTAATTGAGGAGCGAACGAGCGGTAGAGCAAATTGGTCTCCGGAAGAGCTTGGTGACAGGGAAGCGAACCCTCCCATTCCGACTGGACAAAGTCCACTTCGGAAGGACTCCAACTAGAACTTGCAGCCAGGAGTGCATGCTGTGCGCGTATATTCTTAATTCGCTTCAAAGTTCAACGAAGTTCGTGTCATAAGTTCACAGCACCAGCATGAACTTTCTCCTTGCTCTTGCTCCCAGCCTCGCTTATGGACACGGGTTCATGAATTAATTGAGATTGATACCGTGTTGATGTTGGACCGCATCACATTATGCAGCATGCGCTTGGCATAGTTTCAACAGCCACAGCACGCTCCACGGCTGTCGCCTGGCAGGATACAGGACAGGACAGGCCTGACATTCCATTCCCTTTCCCATTCCCATTACCAATGAACTGCCATTCCTTCGATACATCCGGATGTGTGTGTGTCTGCAATTGCACTCAAGTCCTCACTATGCACCAAATGACAATGTTCCATTTGACGTCATTTATACCCTGTTCCAGTCCCTTCCAAGCCACAACTTAGGAAGGAATTTCGATCTTCTTTTAAGAGTGTTCCCTCGAATTCCAGGTCATGATGATCAGTATTCAGTGGAGCTAAAAAAAAATATATTATTATTGCGGCTTTTTAAATGAATATTGTTTTTATGTCATATTCATGTACTAAGAAACAAATTATTTTTAAAAACACACGCTGTAAGGCTTTTCCGGCAGAAAAAAAAAATTTTAAATAGAAAATCGACTCCTTACAACCACATCTAAATGATTCTTTATAAGCTAACTTGTTTCCAATATAATTCAGAATTTATTTTAAATTAGTAATTAATTATTATTCTGTGGTACCAATCTTGGCAATGGGGTAAGGAAAGATTGTGTTATAAAAAAAACGAGTCCCAGGATGGGCCTAACAAATCATGTTGAGAAGCACCTGAGGTGCAGCAACGTATTCCGCTCGAACTATTCAACGTCTGAAACCTGAAAAGAAACGACTTATAAATTTTCAAATGAAAAACGATGGCTTCAATTATTATGATCATTTCTAGATGAGAAAGGTATACCCAGAGGAAAAAGGCCAGAGCCCCGAATAGTTCCACTAAGGTTTTACATTTAGATTAAACATGGGCCATATTAAAGACTTTTTAATAGATGTATATTTGAATCAAAGTGAAGCCCGAATATTTAACTTAAATCTGACAGTGTTTCTTTTTACTATGCCATTTTCCTTTCAGTGCACAATACTTTGTGGTGGTATAATGTGTTTAACTTAGGTGACTGCTGGAGACGTCAGAGAATGTCCAGTGGGACCGTTTAATGTCGAAAATTCAACGAAAATTACTTCATTGGCAAGTCTTTGTGATGAAGGGGTAGCTTGCAAGCAATACTCAGCGTACTTTGCAGGGTCTTTAGAGTACCCTGAGACTTTTGTACATTTCGGAGGTGAAAAAATTCATGAAGTATACAAGCCATTGCACAAGACTAGAGAAAAACCCTGTTGCATAGTGTATTCCGCATGGCTGGCAGAACTTTTGGGTTCAGTGACAATGGAGGCCCCTCCACTACCAACTCCATGCATCCACCTGTCCTTCAGCCTCGGGGAACATGTCTTGCATTTCACTTTCATAGCTTGCCAGCTGGAAAAGCACGAAGAAGGAGATAAAGAATTCATGAATTCCAAAGAAAATCCTGCAATCGTCGGAGAGAGGGCGAACAATTTGTATTCAAATGATTTGAGAGCTCTCCGGGAAGTAACATCATTAAAAAATCCTTCGTCTTGAGTATCATTTGCGACGGTAAAAATAGCACTCCAGAGGCCAGCCGTCCGTTCGGTTGAAATGACAGCTCCTGGGGGACCCATTGGGTGCTTCATTCCAATGCACTATTTTGAGAGCGGGCAAAAATATTGTACGTATAAATGGAAACTGTGCGACAGAACAGCCACCATCCCATCCTGTCACATCCCATGCCATTCGTATTCGTTTTCGTATTCCCATTCCCTCTACTCCGCCTGCCGTAGGCTGTCAATTGAAGTTTTCACGGGATATCGATGCCTGTCTCCTCCGCCAGCTCTGCAATCAAATGCATGGGGAGTCAGCCCCGCCGAATGGAGTGAGTCGTGGCATCAAAAGTTTTGATGGCACCACAGCTGCTGCATGCCATTGAATGGCAGCTCGGTCAGATTGGTTGAGCTGCTGGGATCTGGTCGGGTTCGGAAAACATTTGCCTGCACTGCTGCTGCTGCTGCTGCTGCTGCTGCTAGGCAAAACAGCTAAAACATTTTTGCAAGGTATGTTTTTAATTAAAGCTGGCAACGCTTCATCTTGCTCTTCTGTCTCGTCATCCTGCAGCTAACTGTTAACGGACAGAGTGGAAGAGGGCGAGAGCGAGGGCGAGGGCGAGAGCGAGAGCGAGGGCGTTGGTGAGAGCAAGCAACTGCTTCTTCCATGACCACAATAAAATGCTTGTGCAGCAGAAATGACTACAACAGCGGCAGTACCTCCTACTCGTCCTTTCCCTCTTTGACGTTGGTCTGCGGTTTTTGTCTCGATTATTATTTCATTACTCTTCCCAACTCTCCTTCTCTCTCTCTCTCCCTCTCTCTCGCTTTTGGTGTTATTTTATTATCGTGATTTTTGCATATTATGTACATATATAAAAGGCCAGATTCTGGCTGCATCAAATTGGATTGAATTTCGTTAAAAACAATTCCAGTTTATACAAATACAAAAATCAATTTCGTTTTATGTTTGTTTTCATCTCTTTCCATTCTCGCTACACAAATGCAGTAAGCTATTTTTAATTGATGCAGGAATGCAGCTTGAAATCGAATTCGATATACATGTGACTATACATATAAACATACGTACATAGTATGCGTAGTACTCATATTAAAGTGCACACGTACCAAGGAGAGGTAGAGGAGATAGAAGAAGAACCTACAATCGGATCTCGCTGAGCAGAAGCAGTTCCTGGAGGCCGATGCTAATTGCTATGTCCTCTGGGAGGAGCCGGAATCGGTTATTCGTTTATTTCGTGTTCGGAAATTTCGTTTAGATTGAGCAATTCAGAGATTACAGAGATCGCTATAGCTAGGAAAGCGACATCGATACAGATTGACTGTATGCGATCTATGCGAAGATTCCTGTAGCCTCACGTTTCTCTTGATGCTTAAAGGACACCACCCTGGCCTGTGCAGCTAACCGGCATAGCGAGGCAGTAGTCTACGTAACGAGAGGATCCGAAGTCTGTTGGGTATGCCAGACCCTTTATGGAGCGGTTACAGACTAACAGCATATATAGCTGGAAGACTAGATGCAAGGAAAAGACATTGACGAGGTAGTACTTAAATGTTAAATATAACCTGGTAGCTGATACGTGCATTTATCCCCTCTGAGTTGTTCCATCCGTAGAGCTTTAAATATGGATGGTGAAACGATGTGTGTGTTTGGTTCGAATGTATTTGCGAGCGCAACCCTGAGAAGTCCCTTATTATATCCTACGAAGCTGAATCATGAAATCGTAATGTAAATAATATATTGTATTCATATAAAATACACAGCAGACATACCTGAACGAACTAATAGCAGTTTCCATGTTCATACGTAGTTCGTAGTTGTGCTCCTGCCGTTTTTTAATTGGACCGTCGAGAAGACCAACATATGTAGCGAGACCACCAGGTGCGTAACGCACCGACGAGAAGCGCTCAGAGTAGAAGTCGCTGAGTCGCTAGAAGTCAACAATTCTCACTAAGATCGCTGTCAAGGCAGCCCCACGGATGAGAAATCAGTCACTTCTGAATTGTTTCGTCAATATTACTCATTAATATTAATATGCAGTGCCTAGCAGCTGATTAAACTGTGTAGGGATTTTCACATGGAACCTGGAACACATAAGAGTTGTTATAAAGTGTTTGCAAATACAAATTGCATAAATGACACATCAGAAACATACTGATACCTATCAAATATGTAAGTACGCCTTTCCATTAAGATACGAGTATAACATACCATATATATTGAGAGCCGTGAAGGAGTGTACTATACCGAATGGAAGGGAACGCTGAAAGTGTTCCAAGATGTAGCGTCGCCGTTGGTGCTGCTTGTAGAAGCGAAGCAACGACTGGGAGCGCTCAGGTCCTGTAGCGTTGCCGCGTTTTAGCGGTGACTTCTGGAATGCAGCAATTGTTTGCCTGTAGCTTTGGAAGGCCCCTACCCAGAGCAGGTAGTGGATAGCAGCTGAACGAGAAGGCGACTGGAAAGGTCGCAGATATGTGTGTATATGAGTTGCATCTCTCCGTAGAGCCTTCAAAAGTGTAAAGAATTCCATATATAAGTGTGTACGTAAATATGCACATAAGATGGCTGGGCCAAATAATTCTTTCCACTATATAATCACGTTCATCAGACTTAGGCAGACGTCAGACACATTCACACAAAGCATTCACTAATATAATGTGTGGAACTGTAAGTGATGTGATTAGCTATGCAATACAACTCATGGTGGCTGCTGCATGTTGCAGTGCGTTGAACGTTGACTGTGAATCGAGAAGAAATGCTCCAGCCATTCTAGGCCAAAGTAGCGAGCGGATCCCAAGCACAGTCTGTAGCGAGTCTGTAGGGTATATAGGACCCGCAGGGCACAGGGCCGATCGGCCTTTACTTTGATTTTCATTAAGTTCTTTTTAAAACCATAACAAATCAGCTGTGGCTGCAAATCAAGAGTATACATATCTATTTACACTGCTAGTACATTAATATTCACTACTCACTACGTGTGTACAGCCCATCGAGTGATCCCCTACACGCTGCACAAAACTCGTTGCGTGGGCGCTCACTGCGATCTCACTTGAGCGCGCCGTTCCTCTGAATGTGTGTGCACTCCGTCTGGCCGGATTGTCAGCCCGACCGTTGAATTATGAAGAGGCACAGGTCGCCGGTGCTCCGCCTACCGCCCTGCCAGCAAAATAATCAAACTGCACAAACAACTCGACCTCATAAATAGTTAAGACACAAAGAGTACAACCAGAAGGAAGAATAAATGCTGTTATTCCTAGTCCAGTGTCCGGTGAGGCCTGAGGCGTGGGAGGGGAGAAGGGGCCGGCATCAGGTTGCCCGTACATTGGCGAGTGCTTCTGTGCCGGTGTCCCGGACCGTTGCCTTCTGCCAGCGCCATGTTGTTTCTGCTGTGTGTCCATTTTTATTGCCCGGCAGCCACATGCGAGTGGAGCTGGGTACCCGGGTAGCGATGGGTAGCTGGGTACCCGGATAGCTGGGCAGCTCGGGCTGCAGCCTCTTGTTTGCACAGTCCCAACTAATTGGATTGGCAGTTTCAATTCAGCAACGGACAGGCAATTTATTACACATGTTTGTCTCTGGCAGGGGCAGGGCTGCCAACTTTCTCGACTGCGGGCCCTTCACCACACCGCCAGTTCTACCATTCTACCATACCGTCAACGAAACTCACCGCGACCAATCGATAACTGATCGACGAGTGGTCACTCGACGAATGGCCACTCTCTCTTTCTGGCTGTACAGCGCGTTCGCGGTTGCGCACTGCATTTTAAATTGTATTTTGTCTAAAACACATTAGTGAACCAATTGGATTTATAAAATGGAACGCTTTGATCGCCAGTTCACCATGCGAGCACTTCGCCAGGAGTTCCTTCGCCAGAGGCTTTTCGGAGCTGCGATGATTGAGGATTCTGCCATTTTCCGCGACGCGGTGGGTGCTTTCTGTTCATTCGTCTGCTTTGTTGTGCTTTTTTTTTATTTGTTGTTGTATTGTCGCCGAATTCCAAGAACTGGGCGCATTTTTGCCGAAGATATTTGAGGTTATGTGTGTATGCTGAACTTTTCCATTTTATACCGCCTTTGCAGAACGTGCTGAATATTTTCTGCGGCGATGGAGGAGTCGCCATGCTTGCGATCCAGGCCGGCGCCCGACACGTCCTGGCCATAGATACGGTCACTAATGCGAACATGGCTCGTCGCGTGATCCGTAAAAACGGAATGCTAGATCGCATTTCCGTAATGGGCATCGATGTGCGTCACTTGGGCCTGTCCGGGCTCCGGTACGATGTGCTGCTGTGCGCTTGGATGGAGTAAGCACCCCCATCGATAGCCGGCTTCATACATGTACTAATCCCTCTTACAGCGACATGGCTATATTTCAGGGCAAGCTGTCCGATTTGATTGTAGCACGAGACCGCTTTATCCGTCCCGGTGGGATTATATATCCATACATGATTCGGATCTCAGCGTGTGGCATAGAGGACGGCAAAGCTTGGGAAGCCACCAACAAATGGATAAATGCAAACATTGGATTCAGGTATTTGCATATGCGTGAGCTGCTGCGCCCGGTCTTGGATTACTTGAAGCCCGAGCAGATAGTCACTTCATTCAGCAAGATAGCTGATTTTAATCTTTACACGATCACACTGGAACAGCTCAATCGAGCCGCATTTTTCAGCATGGTGACAATCCAAGAGGCACCCGTGCACTCCATTTGCACGGCCCTGGAATCGTTGGTGATGCGCCCAGGTGGACCTGTCGCCCTCAACTTTAACCACTTCACACCCGATTACCGTCACACTATTTTCTATCTGGGTGTCCAGCTGAACGCATGCACAGGCTCCGTCATCGTTGGCAAACTCACGGAGCTCTTCGATTGGAGTATGACTCGCCAGATGTTGAAATGGGACTACGAGTACAACGGACGAAATGGAAAGTTCGTTGGATCTGGTAATTACACTGTTCGCTAGAGCTCGGAGCGGGAATTATCAACATTTACTATAGATTATATTTTTTCATACTTTTTTTTCGACTGAAGTAATGTTTGATACTTAGGTTATCTTCGGGGTGTAGAAGGAGCGCAGGTTTTTTTTTCTTTTCGTTTGTCCATATTCATGAACATTTGATCTGTTCTTATCTGATCTCTATATATATTAAGATTCACATAAGATTCTGGGATCCGAATCATAAATGCCTAATTTTTCATTCCAACTTTTCTTTCTGAACATTTACAAATTAAAATAAACCATTTAATCCAAGTACATTTTTGTTGGAGTATATTTTCTAATTAAGTGCAAATTGTGTGAACTTTTTTGTGGGAGTCGCCTCAGATGGCAATTTTGCAAATTAGGCCATCCACATGCCTAGCCACCCATTACCGCTAACGAGCACCGTTTGGTAGGGGTCCATCCACTTGTTGGGTGCCCGGACCAGATCCCTGGCCCCTGGCCCCTGCCCCCTGGCCCCTATTCCCTTGCAGCTGCCCCGAGTAGTCCCGTCTGCACACATTTTGTTAAACAATAAAAATGCAAAAGGAAATTGAAAGCCTCGAGATGGCTTGGCGGCGGACCCGTGCGGAGTGCCTTGCAGTGGAGTGCCGGGAGATGCAGTGAAGCAATGGAGCCATAAAGTTTCTGACTTTCGCAAACCGTTTGGCGATGCTGTTGGCAAGTTTGTTGCAAAATGAGCAGCAACAAGGGGTGGAAAAGCTTCACAGAAAAAGGAGAGTTGTGGGCGGAGGACTCGGATCCGGTCCCGGACCCGGACCCGGACCCGACTCGTGGCCATTCGTTTCATCACAACCATTTCGCAACGACGCTCCATTCGCTTCTTTTTAATGGCCGCCCAAGCCAAGTCTGCGCCTATCCGTATATGGGCAGGGGGCTTGGACCTGGACCGGTGCCTGTGCCTGTGCCTGGGTCCTTTTGTTGCTTAATTGGCGGCCGGCCGAGAGGACCGGTCTGCACTGGCACAAATTGCCGGGCGAGTTGTGGGTCCTTTGGCGAGCGCTTGCTGTACATTTTCGCGCCGTGTTGTGCAGCAGCCCACGTCCGTGTGCCATTTGCATTCCGGCATTGTCCTGGGCCAAGTCGTTTGGGCCAGAGCAAAATGACAGAGAGGAAGATATGGAAATGGGTTTGGGTTTGGGTTTGGGTGTGGGCGTAGGCGTTGCCGTTGCCGTTGCCGTTGGCGTGAGCGTGGTCGTCTGTTGGAGTCGCCCTACGTGTGTGCCATATAACTTGGCCGGCGTCATTGTCATCGTCGTTCTCCATTGTGCACCGAGTGCAATACGTAATCACAACAGCAATAACAATGCCGCACAGTGGGCTAAAAGGCCATTGAACCGAGTCACATTTACAAGCCATCGAGTTTTATTTATGGGGGTGCTCCATGAATTCCATGCATATACATACGTACATTCATATGTACATGTGTGTGTGTGCACATGTGCAAGCTGCTATGTGGCGAGGATGGCGCCAGCAGTGATCGGTGCTGCCAGATCTTCCTTTTTGCACAAGTCTGGCTTCCTTTAAAATAAATGCGAAAAACAGAGACAGCCTTATGGGAAAAGAATGTAGTGAGAAGGAGGGAGACACATACATATATGCTTCAGCTGGCTTTCCAGTTGATCTGGGAGCGCCGCGCGCAGAAATTATCGATTATCAGATCACCCTTTACAGGCTGGTTGTGTCCAAATTTTGAACAAGTTGTTGTAAAATTATGGAAAAAGCATATATTAAACTAAATCAATGAACATAGAGAGGTCTTATTGCCAGCGATCAGACCAATAGGAGGGTTACGTATTTGCTAAGGTAGGTACTCTTCAGATAATTAATGCCTACATTTATGGTACCATAACAGATGACTTTAATATAAAGGTCTCAATTGCTGTTTAGTGGGTTTTTAGCAAGCGACTCATCCAGTCAGGAATACCAGGATGGGTGCCACTGTTCAGCGGAATCGAGAATGGAAATGACGGCAACAAAACAATGTGGCAAATGTGCAATGATGTTGTTGGTGGCGATGGCGATGCTACCATGGCAGTGGCCGTGTGGTCTCGTCAGGCAAGTTGGCAGGGATGGCAGGACTTCAGGTCCCCGGTCGTGTACCGAGTCCGGGCGGCCATTGCAGTTATGTCACATGGCTGACTTAATTCATTCATTTAGACGACGCTGACAATTGTAGGTGTCCGGGTCCGGGTACAAGTCCGCGCCCTTTGTCATTTTGTTTTTGTCAACGAGGATGACGGTGCGACGACGTCGCAGTGCAGCAATGGCACGGCAGCAGTGTGCTGAGCCAGTGGAGGGCCATTATGGCACCGACATTGTCAATGACTGGCGAATTATTATTGCCTGACAGGGGCAGTTGGACGCCAACGAAGGACTCGCCTGGCCTCGCGTCACATCACCTCACCTCACCTCCCCACACCTCCCATGCCACGTCAATCTGTCCCCACATCACTGGGGATCCCGTGTGTGTCCGTGGTTGAGCTGGGCATGTGAGCTCCGCTCCATCTTGTTGTGACAGTTGGCACGGCACCATTTCTGTGTAACGTGGCAGCTGAAGTTGTCGCATGAGGAGGTGGCATGAAGAAGCCAATCATTTGCCAGCTAGTCAATCGGGCGCTAGCAGCTCCTGGGCTTATTCCATTATTATGCATCGTAATGCTAGTTGAGGCACTGAGTGGACTGCAATTGGAATTGGGATATGAACTGTGTATACCAATATCCTATACATACATACATATGTATGTCCCATATACTCGTTAGTTACTTGTTCAGTTTTCCAAACAATTCAAGTAAATAGAAAAAGCTGACTTTAATGCTTGCTATATTGATAACTTCTATACGGACAGGGCATATCGGTCAGACCGAGTCAGAGCCAGGAAATGTGATGTAGAAAAATATGCTCTTAAAGTCTAGTACTCAGACACGATACATTTCGAATTAAGGCAGAATTTTTAATATATTATTGTGATTCATTCATTTGGCGATAAAACTCTTAGCCCCATATCTTTTCCGCAATTATGGATTTATCCGTTCATCGTCCTCCTCCAGCGGTACATTCCTGCTTGCCTTCATTGTTGCTTCCAAAAAGAGTTTGAATTTTTAACAGCACTACTTTTGCAACCAAACGCAAAGCAGTGTAACCGTAGTGCATATCCGCCTGGTCACACTCCGCAACCAGCAATATATGACAGTATCGCATAGAAAATTGACTCTTTTGTGGCTGCTGGGCCTAGAGTCGAGTAAACCACCATTTTGCATTCCATGATGGTATTTAAAAATGTATAAAATATTGGTCTATAAACATTGCTTATATTATTAAATATATATAATTAGAACTGGCAGATATCGATACCCCTGTGCATACTCGATATACTGTACATCGATATTAAACTACTTGAAAGCGAAAGGCGGGCGGGCATTTAAATCAAACGCCTCGAGATTGAGGATTTACCATTTTAATGAAGACGATACAGAATGTACAGCCCCGTGATTGATGTTTGAATTCTGTTGAAGGCACACGCCCATTAATATAATTAAATGATTAAAATAAAAACTTCCATTTCGATTATTGGAGTGACCGCAATCTCTATCAGTTGAGCGCCAAAATACAAAATAACATTCAAAACTTTAAAAACCCTGTTTATCACTCACAATAATGTTTCCAAATGTAAACTTATTGTGAAATAATTGAAAGTCAAAGCGCCAATTGTCAAATGAACTCAAACACTCGATCCACTCTGGTGGAGTGGTCGCTTACTTCTAATGTGTGTCGAACTATAGAAAACTCTTCGAGAAAAAATTAAATTTTAAGACATTTATTTAGAGCCTAGCATAATCAGTATAATCTGTATTAGTAATGAGTAATTATTATCATTTATTATTGACTTCTCTAGGCGATCAGTCAATTGCGAAATTGGAACTACCGAATTTCTTATATGTATTTAGTCTTTAATCTCCATCAGAGTAAAAGTCAAACTATAGAAAGTGAAGCTTGCACTGGATCTCCTCCACAGGCTGTGGAGCATCTGTGCTTCCCAATGTTCCCAATGTCAGTCCTCGACCCAGCAAAATTTCTGTCAGATCATGTATGTATATGTATATATTTCCATTTTAAGATTTAGCAATTAAATTGGGATTAGTTTTCTATTTCAGATACGTTTTACAGTGTGCAAAGAAATGCAAATAAAGAAAGAAAATTACAAAAAAAAATTACTAAATTATTGGCGCAAATAAATAACAAAAGACTAATACAATATAGGGGAATACGCTAAATGTATGGATAGATGGATATATGTATTTATATATGGTGGATATGATGACGATGCCTTTGCCAGAGAAATTGGAGTTGTATATTTTTATATTTATTTTTTTTAATCGTTTCTTCTTTTATTACAGATTAATTTTTGATGGATTGCTTAGTGACTACAAATTTTGTTTTGCATAATAAAATTGCTTGCTTGAGAGTGTTTGTGTGGGTGTGGTTTGGTTGTGTATGTAGGGTATACATAGGTATAGGTATAGGTATAGGTAAAGGTATGGGTGTAGGTGTAAGTGTAGGGGGCTACTGCTCATATCAATATGTATATATAAATATATAAATAAATTTATAGGAATATGTGTTGATTTATTTTTTAACTTCCTTTCTCTCCCGCTTTCTGTCTTGATTTTCTTTTCTCTTATCTTCGGGGCTTCGTTCCCTTTATCTCATTTTCTCCCATTTCGATTTTAATTTAAGCTTGACGAATCAAATATAAATATATATATGTGTGTATATATACATATATATATATATATGTAGGTGTATATATGATGTGCTTGCGTAGCCTTTATGTAATTGTCTTTTGACCTTTTGTGAGTTTCAAGTTTCGTTTGCTTAGTGGCTGATATTTCTGATAGAACGGAAGGACTCGCGACCAAAGTTTTGTTTTCTTCTTTGTATTTTTTTGTTTACGCTAAAAATTTGTTATTGCTGTTTTTCTTGCTTGTGTATAAAACGTATAAAAAGCTAAATAGATTGTTTAAAAAAAATCCCTCTCTATATATACGTAGATCTTTAAATTTATATATATATGTATATATAAGTGTTCTTCCTTCTCCTTCACTCTCGTTCTCGGTCTCGTGTTTTCCTCCTCCTTTAGCAATCTTTATTGGGATCCATTTCTTGTGCGAATTGTCAGCTTCAGTTTGGACTCTCGTTCGGCACATGGGATTGGAAATGTGATACTGATGATGCGCGCCCCGAATGGAGCACGCCCTGTCGCCCTCTCTACCTCTCGATCGCTTAGAACTCCCACTGGGTGGCCGAGTCGGTGCCGTCGTCGAGCAACTTGAACGCGCCGTTCTTGGTGGCGCCCAAATACTTGCCCTGCTGCGACCTAGAGAGAAAATAGAGAGAACTGCCATTAGAAATCACCAGAAGGATGACGAGGGGAGGAGGCTGCAGCCAACCTTATACAGATCCTGGTCGGCTCGCGCAACTCCAAGAAGAAGCCATCGCTTGGCGCCTCGGCATCCACAGAGATGCTCTCGCCCTCGATGCGCCAGTATTTGCCGCTGTGCGCCTTCAGGTGGACGAGTCCCTTCTGGGCGCGCTCCACCAGGATGGTCTCGTAGGTGGCCTTATTGCACTCGAGCTTTAGGTTGCCGGGCGTGCGATAGCCGACGAATCCCTGCTCGCACTTCAGCACCAGGATGGGCCTGCAAAACAAGCATAGATCAGATCACCATTGATGGAAATCATTCATACATCTGTGAAGAGGGATCCAATGGCAAATGCTCACCGATTGATCAAGTAAAAGTAGAACTTGGCTATCTCCTCAATTGACTCGGAGGTGGCGAACAGATGGCCCGAACGCTTGGTGGCCAAAAACTTGCCGTTATTGGCCCGGAACGAGAGCGAGCCATCGCCGTGCCAAATCAGCTCGAACAAGGCATCGGCGCAGCGTCGATTCCCGGTGGCCTGGATGCCGCCGCCGGCGGAGAGGCACCAGTACCGATCCTGTGTCGTGCGCAGGGCCCAGCGATGCGCCGACCAATCGTACTCCAGCTGGAATGTCTCGTTCTCGCCCACCTCATCCTGGTTGGCCGTCACATCGACGCCCTGCTTAACGCTCACGTAGCGCAAATTGAGGCCCGCAATGAACGAGGCCTGGGGCAGCGAGTCCTCCAGCGAGAAGAGCTCGTCGCGCGTCACCGTCGAGGAGCGAGACTTCAGCACAGCCTTGGAGCCGATGGGCGACAAGTACTGGCCCTGGCGGTCGCGCAGAGCCAAATGTCCGCCGTGATATTCGGCACTGAACAGGCAGTCATCGTTGCACACCACCTGCAGCTTTCCATTGGCATTCAGATATCTGCGGGAGGAGATTGAGAAGATGGAAGATTTCATTGATTATTGATTACGAGCTCAGGACGGGATTCCACTGCTATGGCAGTGCCACTCACTTATTGTTGCACGTGTGGAGGGCATAGCGCCCGCCCTCATCGGCCCGGAACTCCAGAGTAAAGAGCGTATCCTCGCCCCAGGGTATATTGGCATCCACATGGATCTCGTCCTGCGACTCGGACAGGTGCGCGAACCGCTTGCGTCCGATCGATCGCAGATTGACCTGCGGCCGTGCAGCCAAATGCACCGTCCAGAACTCACTGGCCCCGGGCGTCTTAGCCGTGCAGACGAGTTTGTCGGGCGTGCCGCCCAGAAAGTAGCCGCGCGACTCGTTCTTCAGCGCCCAACGGCCGCTGCCGTCCTCGCTGATGCTGATCTGGAAACGGCTGCCCGCGTCTCGCTCCTCGCTCTCGCACAGAACGTTGCCAAACTGATCGACCGATAGGTACTTGTTCAGATGAGATCGTAAGTAGATAATACCTGCCGATGGAATACCAATACAAAGGAACATCGATTATTATAATAAATAAACAATAAACAGTAACATGTGTACGAGTATATAGAATATACATATTGTCTGTCTATCGTTAGTTATTTCATTTAACTTTCACAATCTTTCAGCATCTACTCGTATTCTAGCTGGAATCAGGTGCAGGTGCAGGTGCAGGTGCATTGGGGCTTCCACCATGAAAGTCGCATAATCCGCAGAGGATGGGGCAATTCTGGGGGGCCATATCGATGACATATCGATTTGTCTCGCTTTCCAAGCGTACATTCATTTTGAATGTTATTATCTATTGAGCCATTTACCCGATCCCCAATCCCCAAACACGGCAAGGAACGATTTTCAATTTGGATGATAGCTATTTTAATGGATGGCAGCTCGAATGAATGCCGGCTGACTTATGGCTCCAACATTATAGAAAATCTGTATTAATTGCCACGACCAGCGGCAACGACCACTTCAGCAGCAGCAGCAGCAGCAGCAGCAGCAGCAGCAGCATCATCAGCTTCAGCAAACGAAAAAAAACCAGTTGCAATCCCGGCTTTAATTGTAATTGCTGTCCACAATCGCAGTCGCAGTCGCTAAGGCCAAAGCCAAAGCCAAAGCCAAATGCAATTCCAAATCCAATTTCCAGAGCTCTCTTCTGCCTGCAACTTGATAAATGATGCCAAATTCGTGAGGCGCTTTGTTTTCTTCTGCAGCACGTCAAATTAGTGCAGCAACTGGAATTATTTCTCCATGTCCAAAGTCCAATCTCCCGTGTCCAATGTCCAGTGTGCGGTGTGGTGCGGCCCCCAAAATGATTTATGTTTTATACACTCGGAATAATAATATTTATACACGGGGCCGAATTCGAAATACCCTCTGCAGAGCTGGAGAGCTCGTGCTTGTGGCATTCTAGCCGCAACCTTAATCCGGTGCCAGGTAGTCAGCAGGGAACATATCCCGGTAGTAGCCAATCCGATGAGCTGAATCTGCAGGCTATAAAAAGACCACAAAAAGAGACGCCACTAACTGTGGCAAGATGCTAGTCATTACGGCGAGCAAATGATTTCTAGTTTGGAAGCTAATGAGGGGAGCAACAGCTACTGGCTGTGGCAGGAGGCAAATTGTGGCCACATTGCTACTGCCAACCAAAAGCAAAAGCACAAGCAACGCGGACAAAATGGTGAAAGAACAATCACTCCTGCAGCGGTCCGAGTTAGATGACTTATCTCGTCCGGGAGATAAGCGATGCGTGCTATGAGCCGATTGTCATCGATAAGACTATAATCGATAAGGCAATTATCGATTAGGATCGATAAGGATCGCATGCGATCGGCCAGTTGTTGTCGATCGGCTGTTACTCACTTTCACCGGTGTTGGAGGGTTCGAGGGTCCACAGCTGCTTCTTCTTCAGACTGGCTCCGTTCGCGTTCAACTTGAAGCCAAAGGTCTCCGCAGTCATGTACTTGTGCTGGCCATTGATCAGCCCGATAGTCCACCAGCCCTTCTGTTGGTTCTGTGATATGATGTCCCCGTTGCTCTGGCCCAGCTCGCAGACCTGCCCCTGGACCAGGCCCTGGCCGTTCATGGTGCTTATGGGAGCCATGTTTAGGCCGTCGTCCTCTCTTCTTCGGACGAGCTTATTCTTGGTGCCTGCAACGAGAGCGGGAGAAAGGGGAAAACATTGATTATGATATGTTTAATTGTGTAAAACTATCCTCCCCCTTCCTTTCCACTTGATTGATGATCATTTTGCCACAAAGGGGAGGAGTGGGTTGGAGGGAGAGAGAGAGAGAGAGAGAGAGGGAGACGGGCTTGGCTCCACCGTAAGTAGTGTGCGTGCAAGATTTATGTGTTGTCTCGACTGGCTGTCAGGGGCTCTGTCTGCCATTTCCATGTGTGCCCCATGCATGCCAAATGGGAGGAGGCGACGACGACTCCAACGACTCCCTGCCTTCCTGTCTGCCTATCTGCCTGCATGCAAGCGGCCTGCCTGTGCCTGCCATTCATTTCAATGTCGATCCATGCTCCAGTCCAACAGGAAATGCAGATAACATTTGCATTACATGGCGACACATGTCGCTGATCCGCTTCAGCACCTCCGTCTCCTTCTTTTCGTTCTGTGGCTTCAACTTCTGCTTTTCGAGCTTCAGTAAATTCAAATTCAATCAGGTGTCTATCGATAACTGCATGTGTGTATCGGCGGCATTAATAATCGGCAAGAGAGAGAGAGAGAACCATAAACACACCTGTACATAGGAGATGACACTGGATCGGAAATGTCAAGTGCCTGAGTGTAGGAAGAAAGGAGATGGCACCAGATGATCGGGGAGTGTCGAGTCTCACAGGAGTGAGGCATCATCGAGAGGAGTGTGTGTTTGTGTGTGTGTGTGTGTGGCTAAAGGAGATGGCACGAGATGATTGCAGAGGTGCAGCAGCAACAACTCATTAGCGTGACGCGGCAGCAATGGCAGCAGCACGCGTGCCTGCTAATCAGAGCTTATTAATCGCCACGGCGGATGAGTCAGCAGCCGCAGCAGCGATAAAGCCACAAAAAGTAACGCTAAACATAAATTAAGAACAAAACAAACTAACAACAGCAGAAAATACTACTACCATAAAAGATGGCGGCCCAGGCAGGCGTAGGCAATAAATAAAATAAAAGGAGAGGAAAGGAAAGGAAAGGAAGGGAACGGAGAGAAAAGGCATAACGAGGTGTGTTTTGTGTTTTGTGTGTGTGTTTGTTTATGTGGGCGGACGGACTGTTGGATTTTGCATTCTAATTTCTCGAAAAGGGAGAGATAAAAAGCGTGACTGGCAACGGCGACAGCGACAGTGACTCCACCACTGCCGTTTCCATTTCTAGGCGTTGGCTCCTGGAAATAAAAGAAAGAAAAACAAGAAAAATGGGACGGAATGGACATCCCACGGGGCGTTGGCCCCCACACGGCAAATCACAGATGCCAGATTAACATCAAAAACGAAAATGTGCGCGAAAACAAAAATGAAAACGAAACAAAATGATTGTCGCATTACGAGTGTCTTTTGCTCGATGTCTCTGGTTCCCCCCGCTGTTCGCTGCTGCGTCAGCTTTAACCCATCGATGAGCAGGTGCATGGGTCAGTACCCTCCCCCAACCCCTTGCCACCCCTTTCCGACAACGTTTCATAATTTGTTTTCGTGTTAAATGCGATTTCAAACATATTCGCTGGAAAATTAATTGTTGGACACTTAAGAAACGATTTCCACACAAATCACAATTAATTATGCATGCAACCCCCCAGGGAGGGGGTCTGTCAGCTGTCAACAGAATCAGTTAGACCCGAGACTCCAGACGTCCTCAAGCAATTAGGAGAGACACTCAAATAGAGAGACAGCGAGAGAGAATGAACGAAAGAAGGAAAGGCAAAACAAACAGTTAGCCCAGGCACCGTTGCACCAGCAGCAGAGGCAGCAAAAGCATCAGCGCCAATTACTGCAAATGGTCTGGCAGGCAGGTCTCTTAGCTCAAGCGGAACAAATGCAAGCAGTCCGTTCCCCATCTACTGTCCACTGCTTGGTCAAGAAGCTGTTACTCTGCCGCTGCCGCTGCTGCTGCGTCTTCATATTCTTCCTCTGCTACGCTGCGCTGCGCTGCGCTGCTCTGCTCGCAAATCAATTAAATTACACTATCAATATCAGAGTCGCACACACACACATATGTATGATCATATATGTTTGTATGTGGTATGTATGTTTATCTCTATCTTTCCCTCTCTCTCTCCGCCTTTTTTGTGGTGGAATTATTAAAACGCAATCTAATTAAATGAAATTGCACACGCACACACCACTACAGCTGCGAGACTTCGACTACGAGTACATGTGCGTGAGATTGAGATTGTGCTTGGGTGTGTATGGTGTGTGTGTGTGTGTGTGTGGTGTGTGCTTTTAGCAAATTACGAAAATGTAAAATATGATGGAAGCGCTTTATCGCATCCAGCGCACCTTTCACCAAATGCGCCGTTGACTCCACATACCCTACTCCCCTCTTTCTCCACTCTCCACTCCACACCACTCCACTGGCGGCCGGCACACAACCTGATTTTATTTTGCGTGTGTTTCGCTCTCATGCGTGCGCCACTGCCACTGACGCGGCGGCTGGCTTCCAGTGGCTTGTTAATGATAACGGTACCCACTGATAAACGCAGTCGCACTCGGAACAATGCGATCACAGATCTCCAAGCTGTAAGCCTCCAGCTGCAGCTGCTGCAGCACAACTTCTTGGAGCTTTCGATTCGATTTATGTATTCTGCTGCTCCCACAGCTGAAAGTAGTACGAGTGTACACTATTTGCACCTCTTGAGCACCATATGTACATGTGTAGAAACACTTGGCGGCAACACATGTACGTATACATGTGTATTTAATAGAACACTCGTAGAGTGGGTGCCGCCAAACTGGTGGATTAAAGGAGAGCTTTTTAAGCTCCTTTCTTCCCTGAACATTTTATTGGAAGAATGGAAGACTGAAAGTTTGGCTTCCTTTTTGTTGGCCAATTCTCTTTATGCGACGCTGATGTTGCAGCGTTTGTACAAAGATATTCTTTCTCTGATTTTTCATTAGCAACCAATGTGGAGGATTCAGGCACAAATATGTTGCAACATACGGTATATTTTACTGTAATGCAGCAAATGGAGCAGCACACACACACGCCACAGCGTTCTAAAAATACACACACACTAGAGCACAATGGTCTAACAAGACATTAGTATGCCTCCTCTCTAGGCCTCCTGCCGATCTCTCTCTCTCTCTCGCTCTACCTCTGCCTCTGGTCCAGACATGAAGCTTCAGCGAGCGAGCCCCTCTGACAGCGGAATAGAAACATTTCTACAGAGTCCACAGTCCAGAGTCCACACAGTCCACAGCACCTGCTGTATTTCTGCTCGCTGCTTGCTACTGCAACATTTTGATACCCTTGAGGGGAAAGAACCGTTTGAACACCTTATCGAAAAAGGCAGTAGCCAAACCCGATATAACGGGTGCATCGAGTGCAGGAAGAAAAGATTCAGGAAAATTCGTATTCATGAATTTTGAATATTGGAACCCGGTTTGGTATCCCGCAAGGGTATCCAAAGTTCGGCCGGCATGGCCTTTGCCGTCGTTTCTTTCTCGTTTTCTCCTGCTGCGCGTTCTGCCGCCGCCAGCGAACGGACGCACGCGCGCACGCGCTCTCAAGCGTTGCATTGTGTGCATCGTGTTGGAGATTTTTTTATGGATGTCAAGAATGCGGCGCAACAGACTGATGATGATGGAGAGATGCCAGAGAGCTCGAGATACTTGAGATGTGCAATTGTGAAATGTGAAATGCAAAGAGCATTTTTCCCCCGTCCTAGCACCACCTCTCCATTCCACCTCCCTTGGAGCGTCGAGGCCTTGCCTCACGCTCGTTATTTATAAAACATTTTGCGGTCGCAAAAATGAAAACAAAAGAAAACAACTTTCTTTGCGGTTTTACATACGAATTTACATCGTGCTGTGGGGGGCGAAGGGGCGTAGTATTAAAAACAAAACAAAGGGAGGGAGGTTCTGTCAAAGAGTACGGGGCACGAGCAGCCCATTTTGCTTTACAGGATCTGGCATGTCTCTTTGAATGGCAGCAGAAATGAAGCAGATCCTCCAAACTGTCGGAAGTAGCAGGGGCGCTGTGTCCAGTATAAAAGCGCTCCTGGAATGCGCCCACAAAACACAATGGAGTCTGAGAAGAGGCCATGGCGGTACTGCATGGCTACAACTGATCTGTTTCTATGACAATTGCCAGTTCAGATAATTACAGACAGATGTAACTGCGGCAAATCGTTATGTATACCACAATGAAGCCTTAAAAGAGCAGCAGCAGCAGCAGCAGTAAATAGCCACAGAAACCGCACAGCTCGATTAACATTAAAATGAACTGCTTTGCTGTGGCTCTAACCCGCGATCGTTTGTCATCCAGTGGGGCGGGAGTCACCTTTCGAATTGTTTTATAATTACCCCATCGCTGGCATCGCCAGCGGAGAGCTTTTCTTTTTCATTTTAGAAAGCGCCAAAACAAGTGCAGTAATCAATTATTACGCGACCAATTTCCAGGCTTCCAGGGGCCCGCTGGCCTGACCATGGCGAAAAGAAACGAGACGAAACGCGACGAATAGAAGAGAGGCAGACAAAGACCCGAAGGCGACTTTAAAAGTAAAAGTTCGAGCGAGACAAAAGACACACACACACGCACACGCACACACGAGTCGGAGACAGGGAGATAAGATGATGGGAAAACTAGAGATGGGCGCAGGCCACGATGTGCGCCCGCTCGCAGCAGCCGCTCAGTCGCTCAGCGCCGCCCGAACCCCAAGTTCTTTTCGTTTTGCCATCTCTAGATCTGTAGGGCGACTACTGCTTGCTGCTTTGGTTTGGTGGATTGCTAGTTTGCCAAAATATAACCGTTAGAACAGCGCTGGCTGGCTGTTGTTCGAAAGCATTTTTTATTTATCATGTAAATCAGTTTTGAAGCGAGAAATGATGATGGAGCTCGAAGCTGGAGCTGAAGATGGGTACCATGCTGGCAGCTTGGGAGCATGGGCAAACGGAATCCCCAAAATTTTACGATGTAGGCGCGATCGATCGCCGAACCTAAGCGAACC